ATGACTCTTCCATTCGTGAGGACTTCCCCTTGTTTGAGCAAGAAGATGTTGCCACAACGGGCAGACTCATAGGAGTATCTGCAGAACTCAAGAGCAACAAATCAGAAACCAATAGCACAAGCAAAGGTAAGGCATCAAAAAATTGAATTACCTTCTGCTTCGATGTTTGGGGGGTTGACGCCCTGGGAAGAAGATGGCTCATCCATGGGTTGTGATGAGGATTCTAGGACTGAAGATGTCTCTTTAAGTGTAGTCCCCTCATCTATCGGTTTGGATGAAGCAGCCTCAGCAGAGGATGATGGAGCAGAAGCTGCCGATGCCAAAGCCTTTAAAGGAGAGGTTGAACTTTTCTGAGGAATCCAAATAAATCATCAGCACACAGAAAAGTTTCAAGTATGGAAAAGTATGCTTGTAAGTAAACTAATTTAATTACCTTCCTCCTGACGATAAGAGGGGTATCATCATCATCATCAACATCATCCTCCAGAATGGGAGATACTGAGGCTGGCCGTTTGCGGCTTGGGGCACTCTTGGCTGTAGTAGGCTTGGCAGGGAAAGAAGAAGATGGACGAGCAGATTGTTTAGCGCAACGAGAAGGAGAAGGACTCCGGATGGACAAAGGAGTGACTAAAATAGGAGGAGGGGAAGAAATGCTCGGCTGGTCTAGTGAATGAAAGGCACGATTGGCATCAGTCGCAAACAATCTGCGCTTCACTGACGGCCAGAGCTATTCAAAAAGAGGATGGATGGCGTGGCTAGAATTGAAGGGGGCTAATTAAAAAATAGCTTGTTAAAAGAAGATTACGAGTATTTATAGCCTCTGCTTCCGCCTTATTAATAATATGAAAGCGATCAATCAAGTTCCTTGAATAGCAAGGAGGAACAGGCCAAGTTTGGCCGAAACCAAGTTGGCGAGCAAAAAATTGGGGAGCATAAATTTCTACCCCTGCCTTGGCATTGGTCCCAGTTAAAATATCATGAAATAGCTCCCTCCCGGTTAAAAACTGGATCCAAATGAGCAGGGAGGTGCTCGCGCTATCTATATTGAAGGGGGGATGCACATAGTTTGGAGTCAAAAAAGGAGGAAAAGGAAAAAAGGAAGGGGATTGAATCTAAAGAATAAAAGAATGAAAAAATGTCTCTTCTAGACATATTTACAGGAGCCAAGGGCTCAATGGCTAGCCCATAGCAGCTAGCAGATGAGCGAGAAATTGATGGAGCACCAAACAATGGAAAATAGGATCTCAACCACAATTAAGTGAACCAAAGAGGTCCACTACAAGTGGGAGATGCACCATTCTTCAATTGGGTTTGAAGAGAAGCCATGCCTCTATAAAGGGCAGCCAAAAAGAAAGAACATAAATTCAAAGGCCTGCCACGCGCTAATTCGTGCGCTATGGGTAAATAACTCAGGGAGGGCTTTATGCTTGGCACACACAAAACATATTTACAAAGCCAAACTAGAAGAAAAGCCACTCGCTAAGTATGGGAAGGCTCAGCGTTCGAATGATTGTGAAGGGTTTGCAGGCTTGAATAAGACTCGGTGTAGTTTTTACCAAACTTTGGAGCGCCACCAGAAACCAAGATACCAGGAAAAATGGTATCGCCCAAAGGTGATAGATTCACTAGGGCCCCAACATCCCTTAAAGTAATAGACATGGGGCCAAGAGGGAAAATAAATGTATTATACTCGGAAGACCAAAAACTCAAAACGATCGAAAAAAGTGCTGAATCAAAAGTAGGGGGTCGAATAGAAATTTCTAACAAATCAAAAATCTTAACATTATCAAAAAGTGCCTTAGTAGGACCATGGCCAACAAGACGAGCATGCCATCTACGGAAAGCTACATCAGATTTAGGCCAAGTGCGAATACTTCTTTCGCGAAGTGGCCCCAGCGGCAGAGAGTTTAGAAATGGAAGGCCTTGAGTACAAGGAAACAGCTGACCCACCGCCGGCTGTTCGACTGCCTCTCCATTGTTGAAGAAAGGACCTAGGTAGAACTCATTGAGTTCGACATTGGCGGGCGCGAGAAAACTCGGAGTTATGTATGGACAACTCAGAAGTTTCTGAAAGTCATCAAAACTAAAGGAGTCACCAGCTTGAGATTGTGAAGTAGCCATTAGAGATGAAACGGAGTTTTTTCAGAGTTACGTAGCAGGGAAACAAAAAATGAACAGTAAATCGTGGGAGAGACGCGAAAAAGTGAGGCGTGATTTAATGGTGCAGTGAAATGACGTGTTTTGGGGTTATAAGAGTTTGCAAAACGTCGCACCTTTTCAAGTTATGGAAGAAAACAATGATTGAAATTCTTGGGAATTTCGAATGTTGCTGGAAACACAAAGTGAATATGACAAAATTTAATAATTGGTATTAATTCTGCCATATTGGGGGGTAATTGTTAACACATAAAAATTCAGCCCAAATAGAACGGCCCAAGGAATGAAACCCAATTGGAGGATCCCCAAATCAGATAGCTTAAAGAACGAAGCCCAATCAAACAATTCAAGATGAAGGCCCAAATAGGGAGGCCTAAGAACGCGGTAACGCCATCGCCCAAGTTTGCAAGTCGCCCAGAATCTGAGCGAATGGAGTGCCATGCAATCGCCCAGAGCTGTTACTCTATTCTCGTCCAAACCTTCAAGTCGCCCAAGGTTTTAGCAAACATAAAGTGTTATGGTTATCAAAAAGTGCAGTTATCAAAGCAATTATTAAAGCAGCCCTATCACGTTCCACGATTCAAGGAATTCAATCGAAAACGGTTGAACGACGAAGAGTAATGGCAGCAGTTAAAAAAGGCAGTTTCATGACAAGCTGGCTATTACGAGGAAAGTGGGCAGTTGTAGAACGATCAAGCAGTTTTTAGGCGGTTGATCACAAAGAAATCATCCATGGAGTATAAAAGGGCGAAAAGACATAGAACAAATGACCGAATCAAAAACTCTTGAATAGAGAACATGTAATTTTAATTTCTTTAATTTAGACTTAAACATTTTTTTCAGTAACTCGTGTGCTTGCGCTCCTTGGAGGCATTCTGTTTTTAATTTCCAATTGTAAAGTTATCGCCAATAAAAGAACACCCCTTTTTAGGACTTTGTTTCAAAAGGTTTGTCTCTTACACAATCGTCTGATCCCTTTTAATTGTTGGCGACTAACCCGCACGAAACAAATTGTTACAGAATTTTAAATATTATTATCTGAGATGCAGAAAGAACAATCTCTAGTTCTGAATTTTCTGGAAGATGAACCAAAAAATCCTAAAACATTAGATGATGGAAGACCTTAGAATTTCTGAATTGTGTATGTTTGTAGAGAGAGAAGGGTATAAGTGAGATTCTAATGGGAGAAGCGGGGTTGGGTTGGGAGTTTAAAAGTAAATAAAATCATGATTATTCTTGGACCATGCTGATTAAGCCATCCTTTTGTCTGATCGTTCTTGAAATTTTCCAGTAGTTCAATTATAATTTTGAGGACCATATTATCCCATAGCCTACCTCGTTTTTTCATTTTTCAAAAGGTGAGACGAGTCTTGAAATCATCAATATAGCCTCCACCACTTGTTTCTTCCATCGCCGCTAAGGGCTCTCCATCAACTTATCTTTATTTTTGCTCTGCTCTTCTAGCACCTTGTGACATTTTATGAATAAATTTTCAGCAAATGAAAACTCCAAAACTGTCTCAAGTCAAGTCAACAAAACAGCTTCAACTTCTTCCTTCCAACAATAAACGAGACCCAACGAAAACTAGAAGAGGGAAGGAAGTAGGAAGGAGACAATTTCAGAGTGAGCTTGTTGTGGCTGTTGCACTCAAGTTGTCAAGGAGCATAAGAAACTAAAGGTTATCTTTTAGAGGAAAAAATAGAGGAGAAAATGGGCTCAGTTAGGAAAAAAGAGAAAAAGTTATAAGATGAAAATACCTTACATTTAATGGAGAATTTTGATGAAAACGAGGAAAATGACATTTTGCACAATCAAATGTGTAATTAAGAATGAAAATATCAAAACATGAAAGATAGAAACATTTTGCACAATAGTATCATGAGCAAAGAACGTTACGTGCTAATTACCCTTCTAAAAAATGGGTCAACTACTAAACTTTTTGGCAAAACTTCAAATGGATGGAATCAGACAATAATGATGTTCTGCGGAGTGAAAGGTTAATATGAAGTTACAAATGTTAAACGATTGAATGATTTGTGCAATAAGACTAAACAATATGATCATTTTTTTTCTATCTATCCGTTAAAATGTTCATATTTTCAACTTTTATTTCTTAAACTAATCAAATATAGAATAATGTTATCCAAAATGTTTAATTAAAAGAAATAAAGGATGCAAAATAAGTAAAATGGTGGTTATATTAGTACAACAATTTTTACCTTATTTTTATCCCAATCTTTGCTCATTATAGCAATTATTACCTTCATTTTCTTCGAGAATTCTTAACTTCAACTGTCAATTAATTAATATATATCATAGAGAAAGTAATTTATGTCAAAATATTTATTTTTATGCTTTGAAACTAGGGGAAAAAATTTCGTAATTTTTTATATATTTTTTAAATATGATGAAAAATTGATTTGTTAAACATTATTTCAACGAATCGTTTGAACATAAACTGTTATCAAATATAAAACGTATTAATTAATGAAAAGTTTGAGGATAAAAATATCTTGAAAAATCACAAGGAACATAAATGTTATGGCAAATAAGGTCTCGTTTGGTACACATTAATGTAAAAATAAGAATGAAAAATATAGTCATTATGAACTCCACACAAGAGATATAAATTTAAATTTGGTGGTTTGATGTGATGGATGACGACCATATTTTTTATTTTAATGAAAAAAAATGAGAAACAAATGAAGGCTAAAGATTGAGAATTTTAAGTCTAATCAAAATGTGGTGTAATAATTAATAAATCCTAAATGCGTCAAAATGTGGTGTAATAATTAATAAATCCTAAATGCGTCATGGATTGTGCACTCTACCCCAGCTTAATTGCGTCACCCGGCGGCGGCTGCATTTTTTAACCCTTAAACGCTCCACATTACAGTAGGAAAATAATAATAATAAATTATTTACCTTCTGAAATGGACCCTCGCCGGGTTCCCCGAAATGTAACCGACCCGAAAGTCCGGCAAGTCGGGTTCTTCGCACCCGTGGCCCCACCCGATGACGTCTTTACGTCGGCCTTACCACCTCCAATCACTCCATCTCCTCCGGTCTCCGGCAACTCCTTGTCCCCCGTCATGATCCCCCCGCCGCGACACACCACCTCCGACAACGCCCCACTCTCCCCACTCAACGCTGCAGCTGGCGACTCTTTCATTCCCGTCGGCAGTTACGAGCCGTGGGAATTTTCATCCCCTTCAGCAACCGAGGACTTCTCCGAAGACAACTTTTCCAAAGACTCAGGCTGGATCCTCAATGAGAAGTCTGGTAAAATTGCCACTTCATTACCCACAGGTGGTGCGGATAAAGCCGCCGTGAAACAGAATACTCATGCTGCCGGTGGATTGGTCCTTGGCGTTACAGGTTAGGTTTTGTTTTTGATTTCCTATTTTTCGTATTTAGCTGTTTCTTTTTATTTTTAAGTGAGTTTAATTGAATTTGGGTTTGATTGTGAAATTGGTTGAATTAGATGGAGGGCCACCTTCAGAGGTGCAGAAGGAGCTTCCGCCAGCTAGTTCCATGCCGAAAAAAGATAAGACGACAAAGGCCGAAAGACGTGCTGTTCAGGAAGCTCAGCGAGCCGCCAAAGCTGCTGCTAATGGTGAATTTTTTTGTAACTTTGTGGTAATATAATTTTTGAGTTGACGTTCGATCTATTATTTACTTCTCCGAGCCACAATTTTGCTTACTCCCGCTTGGTCAAGATATTATTTTAGGCTAAAGTCAATAATTAATTTTAACAGCATATTTTGTAGGTAGCATAACTTTTCAATCACACATTCTTTACTTGTTAGTATAGTATCTGTAATTTTGTGCTTTGCATGATTAACATGTTACTTTGTCTGAAAGCTGATCATCCGAATAAATGCTGATTATGGATCTGAATATTGTTTGAATAATTTGTTTTCCATTTAACTATTTGGGATAATATGTGGGAGAGGAAATATTCATTTTTGTTTTATTAACAAATATTCTTATTAATAATAGGAAACTATGAATGACCCTTCCCTATATGGATTTTAGTACGAAAGTCCACCCCAAAGAGCAAATAGTCCTTTGGTTTTCGTTGGTATCACCACTTGTTAGCATGTTAACACCTACCCTAGCGGGAAATTGAGCACTCCTGGCGAATGGAAGACTTGGTATACAAAGATCAAACCTTTTTTTTTTTTTTTCATTCTTTTTCCCTGCATATTTAAATGCTTTGTAGCAGCCCTTGCATTTGCAAGAGGTCTCCTGCATCTTTTCGGGGCATTAAGTAATGGGTTGTTACTTTTCAAATCAATAATAGAAGAATCGTTGCAACCATGTTTAGTTCCTACATGAATGGATTCTGTGATGTACACTTGCTAACTCCATTCCCTCAGCGTCAATAAGTTTTCTTTGTATACATTCTTCTTTTCTTTGGGGGTTAAATAGTGGCAAAATGTTTTGTTCTGATTAATATCTTCATCTTTTTGGAATTCAATTTGCATTCTTTCATATACTTCCACGGTCTGTTTATCTTCTTAATGGTCAAAATTATATTTATTCAGCTGATAGAAGTAAGAAGTCTGCTGCTGCTTCAGCCAATGCTAATACAAAAAAGGTTGCAAAGGCTTCTACACAAAAGAAAGACAGCTCTTCAGTTGCAACTTCTGAGAAAAGAGGTGGTGATCGTCAAACAGATAAAGATAGGAAGAAAGATGTTCCTCATTTACGTATGCAGTTTGATAGCTTCATCTTTTTGGAATTCAAATTGCATTCTTTCATATACTTCCATGGCCTGTTTATCTTCTTAATGGTCAAAATTATATTTATTCAGGTGATGGAAGTAAGAAGTCTGCTGCTGCTTCAGCCAATGCTAATACAAAAAAGGTTGCAAAGGCTTCTCCACAAAAGAAAGACAGCTCTTCAGTTGCAACTTCTGAGAAAAGAGGTGGTGATCGTCAAACAGATAAAGATAGGAAGAAAGATGTTCCTCATCCACGTATGCAGTTTGATGATGAGGGCAGAGTTGAGAAGGCAAAGAAGCGTTCTATGGTAAAACAAACTGAATCCAGGAACAGAGTTGAACTATTTAGACATCTACCTCAATATGAACATGGAACTCAGCTTCCTGACCTTGAATCGAAGTTCTTTCAACTTGAACCAGTTCATCCTTCAATTTATAAGGTAGATTCTTGGACAATTATTTTGTTTCCCACACATTTAGTGAATATATCCTTAATAATTTTGGAGTAAGTACCTCCACCCTAGTACAATTTTGTTATAAATATTTAGTTATGGTCATAATCTGATGTCAACTATTAAAAATCACTTTCTGCACATGAAATCTTTTCTGGAAATCATCTGGTGGAAAGATGCTTCTTCAGATGATTAAAAAACACTTAAATCTCTCTCTCTCTCATACACACACACACGGACACAATGCACTCTATCCTGATTATGGCTTCTTCTTCTTTTTTGTTATCAGGTTGGGCTGAGGTTTTTAACTGGGGATATATCTGGTGGCAATGCCCGCTGTATTGCAATGCTTCAGGCATTTCAAGAGTCAATTGAAGATTACTCTACTCCACTGGATAAAGAACTTACCAGGGACCTCCCTACAAAGATAAATGGTTATGTTTCATTTGTAATTCAATGCAGGCCACTTTCAATTAGCATGGGAAATGCAATTAATTTTCTTAAATCCAAAATTCTTGAATTACCTTCGACCATGTCTGAGTCAGAAGCCAAAGCCAGTCTTCTCTCAGATATCGACCGCTTCATAAATGAGAAGATAATTCTAGCAGATAAAGTAATTGTGAGGCATGCTGTAACAAAAATTAGGGATGGTGATGTCCTTCTCACATATGGGTCATCCTCTGTTGTAGAAATGATATTCTTATGTGCCCTAGAACTTGGCAAACAGTTCCGAGTTGTGATTGTGGATTCACGACCAAAGCTTGAAGGGAGGATGTTACTTCGTAGGTTGGTGGGAAAGGGTGTTAGTTGTACATACACCCATATAAATGCTGTTTCTTATATCATGCATGAAGTAACACGAGTATTTTTGGGTGCTTCATCGGTGTTTTCTGATGGAACTGTTTATTCGAGGGTCGGCACTGCATCTGTTGCTATGGTTGCCCATCAGTTCCATGTTCCAGTCTTAGTATGTTGTGAAGCATATAAGTTTCATAAAAGGGTTCAACTTGATTCATTATGCTTTAATGAACTTGGTAAGAACTCTTCATTTTCATTCAACTTGAAATATCTCCATTAGATATGGCTGTACATCCTGTTTCTAACACTTTCAGCTGTTCTCACATATCATTTCAGGCGACCCTGATGCTATCGCAAGGGTTTTTGGTAAAGAGGATATTAATTATTTGGATGATTGGGCCAGTAGCCAAAATCTTCAACTTCTAAATCTGAAGTAAGTTTGATTTTTAGATTGAGTAGTTGACCATTTATTGCAGACTAAAGTTTTGATTTTCCACTGTAACAGTTATGATGCAACACCTAAAGACTACATCTCAATGATCATCACTGAATATGGCATGGTAAGTCAAAACAAGGTTCATATATATTATCATATTCTGCCATTAGGTTAAGCTGTGATTATTCCTTGAAATTTCAGTGAAGTAATGCTAGCATGGTCATGAGTTTGCTTTTTATGGTTGCATAATATATGGGGGTCACTGCTGCCCCTGGATATACGAAATAATTGTGCTCATGTTCCTCACTTGACAACTTTTATTCACCAAACTGTGATTACTATATGTCAAAAGAGATTACTCTTGGTAAAAATAGTCATTAGTATAAGTAGTGAGTCGACCTGCAGCTTTCTTAAACTTGGTGAGCTAGGCAAGCTTGATGATTACTTTAAAGATGGGGTATATTCAGAATACTTGACAACTTTAACGAGCTCATAGCTCGGTCAGTTCATCTTATCGATTATTGATTTTAGCTTGATCTTGTTCTCCACCAGTCACTCTAACCAGTTCTTTTGCTAAATTTATGTGATCCAAACTATGCATATTTTTTGATTCATTTAAATTTCGAACTTATAATCATACCTTTTCTTCTTCCCCAATATTTTGAAGTCCTTATTGTTAATTGTTTGTTGCGATAGATCCCTCCAACAAGTGTTCCTGTTATTGTTCGAGAGTACGGAGAACATTTATTGACATAGAGATGTTTGCTCTGCTCCTGACTTCTCCCCCAAGATCAGACTGGCAGATGAGGAAGCGATGTGGAGAACTCTGCTGCAACATCATACAGTTTATTTCTTGTTGAATCTTTCTTAACGATTTGCATCTCAAAACATACTTTTCATTTTGGTTTACAATTCTAGCTACTCATGAAGAGGGCGAATCGTCTTCCTCTCCAGGCAGTTCTGTTCAGTGTGTTTTAGGATAACAGATTTCTGTAAATTTAGAGCAACACCAGCAACTTAGATATAACATTTATAATACATATGTACATATATAGATGGCCAGCTTGCTTTAGTCTCATAATATTTCTTTCATATCTTTCGTTGCCAACATGGGATTGAAAGTGGAACTGTTAATTCTTCAACCTCAGTCGGTTAAGGGTTCCACCTATTTTCATTTAAACTTCCTCATCACCAAACTTTGGGTCCACAGGCAGTAACAAAAGCATTAGAGTTTAAACTTCATAAAAACTCAAAAATTACATCCGATCTTTCTATAAATCTGGCAGTAAATGAAAATTTATTGACTTCAGTCTTGTCACACCTCTCTCACTGCAAGAATGAGACTATTCTATAGATCCTCTTATAATGTCACCTTTGCCATATACAGGAGAGACAACAGCAAGAATAACAAAACCACCCAAAACAACTATCAATATACCAAGAGAGTTCACCAACAACGCTTCGGACGAATAGCGTGATATTATGTTGTTTGTTTGAAGAAATGTCGCTTTCTCTAAAATACCAGTGGTGCAAGTAGCGATAGCTAGAGCATAAATATAAACACCAAAAAATACGTGCCAAGGCAACAGACTAGCTCTGCTGTTCCTCGAACCGCCGGGATACCAAAAGGTAACAAATCCAGCAGCCCACTGCCAAAGAAAGTATCGAAAAAATTAATTGACGGAATCTGGGGAAATATTTGAGAATTTGTTGAAGGGATTAAAAGACTACCTGGATTCCGAACAAGAAAAGGCAGGATAAGCCGAGCCATGAGTGAAGACTATAGAAATTGTCAATACCCTTGTCATTGTGAAACTTCAAAGCAGCCCAAACTCCAATAACGCTCAAACAGAACGACAAGAATTGCAAACACAGATGAACTGATTTTTTGAAGTTTTTTGTTCCTGAGACAGTCTTGTAGGCCAGCATGGCTGCAGAAAGCCATACCAAGCAATTATAACTAATGCTGTGATGCTAGCAATATAGGCAATTAGGACTAGGTACAATAAGAGCATGTTCAGACAAAATACAACAAATGATTTGAGAACTTCTAATTAGTAGGTTTCAGACCCATGACTACCCCGAAGCTTGTAAAGTTTGAGAAGGGGTTATGAAAGATCAAAAAAGAATTTACTACAATCAATATGCCTTAGGGCATGACCATAAGCTGGACAATTAGTTAGAGCAAGTAGGTGGTATAACGAAATTGATTGAAAAAATGGACAATCAGCCAAATTCAAATTACTTAAATGAGGGTAACAAAGGAAAAAGAAGTTTACATATCATAAGCATGGAAGCATCATATCTGTACCTTAAAATAACCAAATTTCCATAAAATCATTCTTCATATATTTGGCAGTTACAGAGATAAGCAGCATTGTCATGCATACCAATGCCATACAAGATATATATGCTAACCATTTAAGTAGAAGTTTAATCTTATAGTACAATTTTCATCTGTATCTCTGTTTTTCGTGCAGCCACAGAGAACACCAAAAAGTCTCTCTGGACTGTTTAAAGATTTTGAGACAACATTATCTGGGGTTCAAAATTTATTAAGAGGTCTATTCAATGATTTGCGAAGGTAGGTGTTTGAAACAAGTACCCATGCAGGCTAAAAAAACCAATATTTCCTTTATGAAGGAATATATTACATTCTAGAAGGGTAAGCAAAATTGGAAGGGAACAATTGTTTAGATTCCTTTCGTGTGTAACACAAGTGCAATATTTATATATGATCACATCAGCTTGCACTTCACTATACTGATTTGAGAGTAAAAGTATAATGCATCTGTAGCATAAAAATTGTAATCAGCGCGTACCATCATAGAATAAAATATAATGTCCAAAATCTATTTTGATCATGGTATAATTGACTAGTAATAGCAGGCAAATGACTCATAAACACGCACCAAGTTGCTTAAGTCTAAGCTAAGGGTGTTGCTACCATTCATCTGAAGACTTCTACAAACATAGCTCATCAAACGAATTGTCACTTAAAAGGGAATCGTAATTTTCAGAACAAAGTACACTGAAGCAAATCATAAATTGAAGGTGTCAATGCCTTCATCTCAACAATCCACAAAATATCACACACAGACATTTGGAAGGTAGGTAGGTGTACATGGCAACTTAGCGCTGCTGTTTTAATGCAGGTATTATTTTGTTATTATTTCGTAATATCATAAGAGGAATTAGAAAAGGGGATGGAAGGACGATGGGACGACGGGGTATTGGATATGGCACCTATAGGACATGCTTGTTACACAGTCATGGACATTGAAAACACATAAAATAATCCTATCCAGTACTCTCAAATAGAAATGCCATTAACTATTAATGAGATTGCTAGTCCCTTATTGATATAGACAGAGTGTCAATTTTTATTTTCCCCTTGATTTTAATGTTTTAGGGCAATATTGATGATATATAATGGGAATTGAATTATGGCCTACACTATATACTTACCTTCACCATTCAGAAGTACAAGGCTAATCACCATTAAAACAGGATGGACCTACATAATTCACAATACAGAAGATCAATTTCAATCAGAAGTCAAAATAAGTTCAAAAGTATATTGATCTACACCATCTAAATCACAATCCGTCAAAGAGTGAATTAACTTATTTATTAAAATTAACTGTTCAACGACACCCCTTCTGTAACAAAACGGACACCATTTTTTAAGTGTTCAACGCCTCAGTTTAATCGTTAACCAATCAAAACATGATTAATTCGAGAAAATAAGTACAAGTAAAAAAAAGTGGAAAGTACATTGAAAATTAGATCTTTGTTATCGGAAATTAGAGCCAAGCCTCCTCTGAAATGCACAGTCCAGGTTAAAACCAACGCCGTTACTGCGATTCCGATTATCCTCACGACCGGCAATATCGGAAACCAAACCACCGGCACTGCCATTGGAAAGTTTGAGAGAGAGAGAAATCGAGCTAATAAAGAAACAGTAGGTCAAGATCAAAGGTGAGGGTTTTGCGTAGATCTCTTACTATTAAAGAAAATAATTTGACAGTTACTAGAATTTTACATATAGTGATGGCAAGGGGGAAAGTATGGGATGAATTCTAATATTTTTTTGATTTGTCCCGCTCTCATACCCAGTTGAATGGGACGGAACGGAGCGGGGTGGGTACGAGGTGGGGCCGAAGGTGGAGGGTTTCTTCTCTTTTATCTCCCGTTTATTTGTTTATTTTTTTACATCTTTAGTTAGTAATTATTATTATTATTATTTTATTTTTTTATTTTGTTAAGAACAATTCATTTACTTTTTAAAATGATGATAAGTTTTAAAAAAGACAAGTACGAAGGATTATGTATCTTGTACCTGCTTTGAGACAACGACCTTTATCTCGTTCTTACCCCATTTACACGATTAGTGAGTAATTTCCTATCTCACTTAGAACAGGCCCTCGAACAATGATTTGAACGATTTTTTTTATCTTCCGTATTTACGGAGAGTTGACTTTCAAGGATTGCCAAATCATGATGTCCCTTTAGACACACTTTAAGATAAAATAATAATATTATTATTTTATCTAGAGATTATCGTGCATTACTCTTGAGTAGGGATGACAATGGAATGGATCGAGGCCAGGATAATCTCCCCAGTCCCCGCCCCCGCCCCGTAGGATAATTTTACGCCTCGTACCTGCCCCTTATCCGTTTAAGACGGGGCAGTGCCCTTGTCCTACCCCGTTTAGTACCTTTATTTATTTTATTTATTTAAGTTTTTGATAATTCTTTTTAGGATTAAGCTAGACGTACAGATGAGGACTTACAGAATCTCTACAGAATTTTAAAATTTGGTCACGTGTCAATGTGTGGGTTCAAGGAAAAGGAAATGACTGCTGACGGAAAAGGCACGGAACTGTTGGCTTGGAGGAAATTATCTAATAAATTCATCAAATTACTTATGGTTTTTGTCTTCATTTTCGGACTCATTACGAGTTATCAAATGAACTCGAAATGTTAAATTCTTAATATCATTTTAAAGTACTCACGGCCTAATATTTGACATAGTTAATGGTACCCGAAACGGCCAATCGTAACAAATGTTACGGCTCGTCAAAGTAGGCTACTTCAAACTAATATTTCGAGAATTTCGATAATAAGCTAACTTTGAAAATTTTTCTACGATTGTACGCTAGTTGAATCCATAAATCTTCTATATCTTCTTGAAACTCATTTCGAGAACTATATCATAGACTCATCGAATGATCTAAATGAATAATGAAAATAGTTAAACGTACGTCAAACGTGTGTGTCAAAAAAACGTATATTTCGTCTTTTTTAAGAAAAAATCAATTATTTTATTAATGTTTATTATTTTTGCTTGACAAATTTCTCAATATAATTTACATTATTTTTTTAGCAAATTTTATATATGATATGACATCAATTTTTTTTGGACGTATTTTGAGCACGACTTTTTCTTGTCCAAGTGTATCTTGTCTTTACCACGAATCATTTTCCTTAGTTAACAATAATTGTTATGTTGCCAATATCTGGGTTCCTTAATTTTCTTTCTTCCATATAGAGGAAATAAGGTAATTCGTTGGTATACTATATGTATATCACAGACCAAGAATACGAGATCACCCCTTGTCCAAAAAAAAAATTAAAAATTGACATCATACCATATATAAAATTTACTAATAAAATGATGTAAATTATATTGAGAAATTTTTCGAGCAAAAATAATAAATATTAATCAAATAACTGATTTTTTTCTTAAAAAAGACGAGATATACGTTTTTTTGGCACACACGTTTGACATACGTTTAACTATTTTCGTTATTCATTTAGATCATTCGATGAGTCTATGATATAGTTCTCGAAATGAGCTTCAAGAAGATCTAGAAGATTTATGGATTCGACTAGCGTACAATCGTAGAAATTTTTTTAAAGTTAGCTTGTTATTGAAATTCTCGAAATATTAGTTTAGAGTAGCCTATTTTGACGAGCCGTAACGTTTGATACGATTGACCATTTCATGGACCATTAACTATGTGAAATACTAGGCCATGAGTACTTTCAAATGATATTAAGAATTTAATATTTCGATTTCGTTTGATATCCCGTAATGAGTTCGAAAATGAAGACAAAAACCATAAGTAATTTGATAAATTTATTTGATAATTCCCTCCAAGTCAGCAGTTCCTTGCCTTTTCCGCCAGCCATCATATCCTTTTCCGTTCACCCACACTGACACGTGACCAAATTTTGAAATTCTGTAGAGGTTCTGTAAGTCCTCTTCTGTACGTGTAGCTTCATCCTTCTTTTTATTGTTTCATTCATTAAAGTGAGGCAATAATATATTTATTGAACTTTTTCATTAATGTATTTATTTTTAGAAGTTAAATTATTTAAATATATATTTGATAAACTAAGGTTTTTATTGTTTATCATATTTCTTATATAATTTTAATTGTCATATTCTATTAAAATTAATGAAATTTCATGGAGCTTTCCGTTTAAAGTATTGAATTCTTTAAAAAAAAAAAGGGTAAAACGAGGTTGGCACGGGATAGGGCGGTGCCCTTGTCACCCATTCTTGCCCATGGATGAAATCCCCCGCCTCAACTTTGATATGAATACATGATTAAGCAGTGATCCCCACCTCGTTTGGGACGGACCCCCCAAGTATTGGGATTAACAAATTTTTTACCATCCTTACTCTTGAGATAAACATTAAAAATTAGATAAATGCTACACCTACAAAGCCATATGAAAACTATATTTGTGCTGAATTTAACACTTCAAAATTATAGTGAGGTATAACAATTTAATTAGCGGGATAGGTGAGAGAGACAAAGGACTTGACCCGAGTTTTACTCTTTTCTATTACTCTTCCAAATTGTGTTTGTAACAAGTCAAAATGTACATTTGAAAAAAGAAATTTTGAACATACACTCTCTTAAAAGAGGGAATCCTCTCTTTACCGTTCATTTTGGAAGTATTTTCCTTTTCCCATCTTATCCTCAAACAACTAACAAAGTATTTCTTACATTGAATGATGCATTGGTCTTTTGACATCTATATGCAAAACATCTTTCTCCTATGGTTAAAATTAGTACTACCAAACGCTTTCTTTCTCCCAACAACGGTCAATTTTTTAACATCGGGTCAAATTATAACACTTAACCAAAAATGTCATGCAAAATAATATAATAATAGGGATAAGATCAAATGAAAACAAAGTCAAGCAATGGTGGCTATACAAATAGAACAAATCCTTCATTTCTTTTATTCAATCTACTTCAAACCTTACACAAAGAGAATATGAGAAGTTTAAGGGAAAAAGAAAAGAAGAGAAAAAGGAGAAGGGACAGGATCAACACTAACGCACCTCAACAGCACCTTCCAAATCTTGAGAAGATATAGGATGATGCTCAACCCCCTCAAATGCGCCTTCGGAGTGGCCTCCAGTAAATTCTTAGGATACATGGTCAACCAATGTGGTATTTGAGTCAACCCTGAGAAGATTGATGCCCTATGCAAAATGAAATCTCCCCAAAATTCAAAGGAGGTGCAAAGCTTGACTGGACGAGTGGGGCGCTTAGCCGCTTCGTCTCCAAGGTTACAGATAAATGCCTCCCATTTTTCAAAGTGCTAAAAGTTGGGAAGAAGTTCCAGTGGAATGAGGAATGTGAAGAGGCCTGAAAAAGCACCTAAGGCAGGCCTCCCTCCTCTCCAAACCGAAGTCCGGTGAAATCCTACAGCTGTATCTAGTTGTCTCCAATGAGGCCATCAGTGCGGTTCTAACCCAAGAAGAGGGAACCACCTAACTCCCTATTTACTATACAAGTAAAGCACTCCTATCGTCGAAAACTCGCTACCCCGATATGCAGAAGCTTGCTTTGGCCTTGATCACGGCCTCCAGGAAGTTGAGACCCTACTTCCAAGCCCACACCATCCACGTGCTGACAAATTTTCCCCTAAGGCAGGTACTCCAAAAGCCCGATGCCTCAAGGAGTTTATTGAAATGGTGGTGGAGTTAAGTGAGTTTGACCTCATGTTCAAGGTCAGGGCAGCCATCAAGGGCTAATCCTTAGCTAACTTTGTGGCAGAATTTGCCAACTTATCCGAGGTGGATGAAATCATGGAACAAGTCGAGCCCCTAACGTGGAACCTATTCGTTGATGGGTCAGCTGGGGACGTCGGCTTGGGTGCCGAAGTTGTCCTCATCAGCTCGAAAGGTCACAAGCTGAACTCGACGGTGAGGTTCAGGTTCAAGGCTATCAACAATGTAGCAGAATACGAGGTGCTTCTTGCTGGCCTCAGGTTAGCCAAAGAAATGCAAGTAAAGAGGCTACTCATCAGTAGTGACTCCCAGCTGGTCATTAGCCAGGTCAACGGTAACTTCTCAACCAGGGACAAAATAATGGCCTCCTACTTGAAAATGGTGATGAACCTCATCCCATCCTTTGAAAAGTTTGGATTGATCCAAATCCCCCGCATCGAAAATGCACATGCGAATGCACTCTCCAAGCTTGCAAGTAGCAAGGATTCTGAACTACTCACAGTAGTCCCTATAAAGCACCTCCTTATGCCGTCAACTGAGGCCCCCAATATAATGTGGGTCATTGGGACTCCTACCTGGATGAAGCCCATCGTGGCATACCTCAAGGACCAGGTGCTTCCCACTAACAAGCATGAGCCTACAAGCTAAGAAAAAGGTCAGCCCATTTCCTTCATTGATGATGTACTCTATAAGAGAAGTTTCTCCTCTCCACTCTTACGATGCGTCGGAGGGGAAGAGGCTACCTAGATCTTAAGAGAAATCCATAAGGGTGTGTGCGGAAACCACTCTGGAGGTCTATCTTTAGCACAAAAGATACTGAGACAGGGATACTACTGGCCTACTTTGAAAAGAAATGCTCTCGAGTTTGTACGAAAATGTGACAAATGCCAACGATTCTCTCCTGTCCAAAGACAACCATCGTAAGATTTGACCGCGACCCCACCCCTTGGCCTTTCTCGAAGTGGTGGACCTCATAGGTCGTCTACGAAAAGGCAAAGGAGGTGCGAGCTTTGCAATTGTGTCCAATGATTACTTCACAAAATGGCTTGAAGCTGAACCCCTGGCAAAAATTACAAAAGCCAACACTTTCAAGTTCTTGTGGAAGAA